TCACACACACGCACACACACACATAGACACACATCCACATCCACACATACACATCGAACACATAAAACTGGTGTCTATACTAGTACAGTACATGTGTTTATTACAATTTCAGAAATATAATATGTATTCAAAAATATATAATTCATTTAATTTTCATTTATATATTTGTATGAAAAATGCAACTCTGTCTGTGTGAGGCTTGCAACGTCTGATATACTGTAGAATAAAAACTTAATTAAAAAATTAGTATTTCTTGTTTCAATAATACTCTTACTAAGATGCTCTTACTAGAAACCTCCAGACCCCGGTGCTTGACTCAGCAGACATCCGGACCAGGTCTGGCACATGATACCTTTTGACCACATCCATCATTTTTGCAGTTGAAAGTCAAACACATTACAGATCTGAAGGTTCCTGTATACTTGTGTGTAAAAGGTTTTGTGCTCCCATCATTGGGGCAACAAGTTGGAGCAAAGAATATTGTCAACACGGAGGGTGCTCATCACAATAATCATTTATACAGTTTAAAAATCTTTTTTGAATTGGCTTTGTACCATAACTCATTGAAAATAAGTGGCACTACTACAGTTGCTGATGTTCCTTGTATTAGTGGTGATGCTGTTTCTGGTGGTGGTAGTGGTGGTGGCGATAATAACAATGCTGCCGCTGCTGCAACAAATAATCTATCATCCATAGATCTATCTTTCTTTCTGCGTATCTTTGTATGTCACTCTCTAGTAATACCTCTAATCTTCGGCACTTATATAATCTCTTTTTGTTGCAAGTGCCGTAAAACTCTTACTCAAAATAAAGGAAAAACCTCAAACTTTATTTCATATACTCTTATTAATATTATTATCCTCAATTGTGAACGTGTATAAACAAAACGCCCAACAACACGTTTCATTCACCCACCAATTAAGTTGATAAAAGTAAAGTATAAACTCCCCCCCCCCCCCCTCAGTATTCACCCAAACACATAAACGACTTCATCATGCAATTATACCTCTCTAGTGTTTTACCATTCCTATCATCATGTTCTAGCGCATGCCACTGGTAGAGCCTACATCTGTTCTTTCACTCTGTTGTTTCTGTCTATCTGTCCTGCTTCCCACGAGCACTAAACAACCGTTATTGTGTCGGTGGGCGTTATCGCCATTGTATTATATATTTTACGCCCCCTTTCGGCACTGTCAGGTTATTTAAGGTGTGGCACCTCTGAATTCCACACTCGTCTCCGTTAAGAAGGAGCTGAATGGGCGGAGAGCCTTAAAAACTCCCCAAAACAACGTAAGATTCAAAACACCCTGTTAGAAATTCAAAACAGGGTCATCCGC